TTTGGTTTTTTGAGACAGGGCTTCACTGTATAGTTGAAACTGACCTGGAACTCACTGTGTAGCCCAGGCTGGTCTCAAACTCACAGTGATCCTCCTGCCTCAGCTTCCCGAGTGCTGGGATTACAGGCGTGTGCACCATTCCTAGCACTAAAATCTTAATATAGAAAGGGATAGGATATCAAAAATTTATGGTTGAGGCTGGTGTCTGAGCTTGCCTGGTCAGTTTCCCTCCAGCCCCAGTGTGGTGGCCGTTCCTTAATTGAACCCCAAAGAACACAGTTTGAAAACCAGTAGTTTCATTTAACCCTCTCATTTTACACAGAGAGAAGCCCTGAGAGGTTGTGGCTTTCTCTGGGGTTGCGCATCCTGGCACTGGGCCAGTCCCTCTTTGGAGCATGCTTCAGCCCCTTTGCCACGCTCTCTGCTCCATAGGGTCACTTTCCTGCACCAGCAGCTGAAGGGGGAATGTGAAGAGCTGCACACCCACACCAAGGAGCTGAAAACCTCATTGAACACCTCACAGCTGGAGCTGAACCGCTGGCAGGCGCGCTTTGATGAGCTGAAGGAGCAGCACCAGACCATGGACATCTCGCTGACCAAGCTGGACAACCACTGCGAGGTGAGGCCCCTGTGTGGTGGGTCACAGTGGAGCCTCACAGGAGTTTTGCTCCAGGAGAGGGAGTGGGTGGCCAAGGCACTGGAGTGGGGTCAGATGTTGCTTCAGTAAGAACGTGTCAGGTGCTACCTGTGTGACTTCACCCAGAGGGGCAGTGGAGGGGTGGACACTGTTTCTTCTGTCCTCTGCCTGTGTCCATCCTGTTTCCAGATTTCTTCATTTCATTAGCCACGCTGTTCTAGAGACATGGCTGAATCTGCCCCATCTTGGGGTTTGGTTGCCACGCTCAGGATCCTGGGGCAGTCAGGATGAAACTGATTGAAGGTCTCCAGCTTCTGGAGCTGTCCTTTCTGGTGCAGTGGGAAGTGGCCATCGTAGGCAGCAGATCCTGAAAGGGATCATAGATGACTGAGATGCACAGAGATAGGCTGGGTAGCTGGGCGGGGGGGCGGGGGGCAGAGGCCTTGCCTTTGACTTGTGCTAGTGCTGGGAGGCATCACAGAGAAGGAAACCAAAGCCCAGGGACTGTGCAAGGCATTAAGATTCTGACTTTTTTTTTTTTTTTGGTGGTTTTTGAGACAGGGTCTCACTATGTAGTTGAGATTGACGTGGAACTCACTATGTAGCCCAGGTTGGTCTTGAACTCACAGTGATCCTCCTGCCTCAGCCTCCTGAGTGTTGGGATTACGGGTGTGCGCCACCATGCCCAGCAAGATTCTGACTTCTAATTTTAATTTTATTAGTACATGTTTGCAGTACACAGTGATTACATTCATTGTGGAGAACTGGCACACATATATAACACATCTCAATTCTTTTTTCTTTTCTGTTCCTTCAAAATAAAATTTTTTTAATAAATTTTATAAATACAGATTAACAGCCAGACTGACCAGCTAAAGAAGTATAAAACACATAAGAATCATACTAAATCAAGATACTTATTGTTCAAGCTGGATTACATGAGCTTTTTTTTCCTTTTCTGTCTTTTATTTTGTACTTTATTCTTGTATTGGGTTTCTCATGTAAGAGAGACAGTGCAATATTAAGCTTGTGTGTCTGATTACTTCGCTTAACATTATAGTCTAAAGGTACATCCATTTTCCTACAGATGATTCAAAGCTTACCCTTCTTTATAGCAGAACTCCACTGTGCATAAAAATACATTTTCTTTATCCATTCATCTCTGGGTGAACATATAGGCTGCTGTTATGAATTGTGCTTCTGTGAACACAAAGCAGTGCATTTGAGGAAACCATATCAGGCTGCATGGCAAGCCGCATAGAAGGGGATGCATTTGTGTCAAGAGTGGAAGGACTGGCAAGGTGTGGGCCTGGGAGTGTTTCATGGAAAGGGCTGGTTTGCAAGGTGGGGATGGGGGCTGTGGGAGAGCAGGCGTAATTTGGTCAGCTCAGGTCATGAGAGGGGACCGGTGAGGGGCCAGAGCACGGATGGCAGATTGTGGGAAGGTCAGTGAAACCCCAGGTCTAGTGGGCCCCAGATGGGAGCTGCTTTATCATGACAGCTTGGGCTGTCATAACAAAATGCCACAGCTCGGACAGGCTCTAACCCTGGCAGGCAGGTAGCCACCTTCCCATGTGTCCTTATGCATGTGGTATTTTTTCTGTGTCCATGGTGTCTCTCTGTAGGTCCAGATTTCCTCTTCTCCAAGGACACCTGTCCTGTCGGTTTGTCCATCCGTGCCCTCATAGCCAGATACAGTCACATTCGGAGTGACTCAGGATCAGGGCTTCTGTGTATGAATTTGCAGGATGGGTCTCCGGCTTGCACAGAGTGAATGTAGTAGGGGCAGGGCAGGCCTCCCCCCCACCTCTCCTGAGCTGCCCGTGTGTCGTAAGTCCTCATGAGGGGGACAAGCATCTATTGTGTCATCACTGAGACAGCCCCATCTGGCCCGGGATTGGGAACTCAGCCACAGCAAGGGCCCAGTGGCACAAGGTCCCCAGGTCTGCAGCCATGCCAGGCCTTTGCAGGGGCTCATGCAATCTCCAGGAAGGATGGTTCCTGTGTTGCCCAAATGGTTTTGCAGCAATGATCTGGAAATATTTTTAGTGAAAGGATCATCAGTCATGATCTCCCCTCCTTTTCCCTTCCAGCTCTGCTCATCTTGTTCCCCTAAGCTGTAGTAATATTCCAGGCTGTTCATGGAGAAGCAGAGCTGTTTGGCCACTGAAGAGGCTGGAGTAGCGCCTGCTTTCCACCTGGGGTGCCCTGGGCCTTTTGCTGTGTTCTTGTCTGTCTCACTCGGTCGTCACAGTGACCTGGGAGCTGGGGTCTGCATCCTTGTCCCTTTTAATGGTGAACTGGACCCAGTCTCTACATCCAAAGCCTGAGACTTTACTACTACACTACAGGAATATTCTAGAACAGAACTTGGTAAACTTCAGCCTACTGGCCAAGTCCTGCCTACCACATGTTTTTATACAGGCCACAAACTGAGAATGGTTCTTAACATTTTTTAATGGGGAGAAAAAATGAGCAATAATATTTTGTGGTGAGTAAAAATTATATGGAATTTAAACAGCATCTAGAAGTAAAGTTTTGTTGACTCAGAGCAAGGCTTGTGCGTTCTCATGGTACCAATAGCTGCCTTTCTGCTGCCAGGGCAGAGCTGAGTAGTGAGCTATGACAGACACTGGATGGCTTGAAAAGCCTAGAATTGTCACTTTTGGTCTCTGGGTAGAAAAGGTATGCCACTTCTCTTAAAGCAGAACATGCTACATATGCAGTGTAACAAAATGAAATTAATTTTTTTTTAATGAAATGGGTGTCTTGCCGCATTGCCCAGGCCAGCTTTGATTGCCTGCCTCAGCTTCACACATAGTTCCTCCCATGTACAGGCACATGCCACCACTCGGGGTGAAACTTCCTGCTCTGTCTTTCCCGTGTTTAACCTTCAGCCTCCACTGCGTGTCTCAAGTTGAATACATGTTGGCTTGGACCTGCTGTGCTCTCAGTGCCTGGCAGCCTCTGGGTCGGGCAGTGCTGTGTCGGGGGCACATGGGCAGGCGGTGGGCTCTGTAGAGCTTTCCAGGCAGTACAGAGATGACCCACTTGACCTTTCCTTCTTTGGCAAGGTAGGTGGGATCGTGGGGGTCACGTGGTGCCTCAGCCGCTCTTGGTCTGTGTTTCAGCTGCTCTCCCGCCTCAAGGGGAACTTGGAGGAGGAGAATCATCACCTCCTGAGCCAGATCCAGCTGCTGAGCCAACAGAACCAGATGCTCCTAGAGCAGAACCTGGAGAACAAGGAGCAGTACCATGAGGAGCAGAAGCAGTACATGTAAGGGGCGGGCTGGGTGGACCTGGGCTGCTGTCCCCACCCCCACGGCAGCCCAGCCTCTTGAGGTCCTGGCTTCTCCTGCCTGGCCTGTGACATTCAGAACCACTGGGGGGTGGCCAAGGGCAGGGGGCAGATGGTGTTACCAACATAGATTTCCTTGCAGTGGTATGAGTTTCTGGAGTGGTGCTAGTTAGCTTTTGTGGGCTTTATCTAAGACACTGTTCATCACCAGAAGCTTCCTTAGCATTGAAGTTTACTTCTAGAAATGATACCAGTTCCAGAAAGACAATACATCTTGCAGGTGAGACTTCTGAACTCTGGGGAGTTAGGTTTGCTGTGCACTGTTTGTCCTCCCCTGGCTGGCAGTTAGGAAGTGCAGGCCCCAGCAGGCTAGGTCCAGGAAGGGTGACAAGTGTGAGCATTGTGTCTCTCAGCCATGGGTTGGGGAGCTACACAGAGGCACGGGAGCGAGGGTGGTAGGAGCCAGTGCTTGCTGCTGCCTGCGATGAGAAGGTGGCAGCTTGGGAGGGCGGAGAAGGGGGTGTGGTGTGGAAAGGGCAGGTAGTCTGGGGACAGGGACCACTGGGGGCACTGGGAAACAAGGCCTGAGAGGTTGATGTTTAGCCGTTGAGAGCTCCCCTGCCCAGCCGAAAACCTTGGAGTCACTAGGAAAGGGATGTGAGTCAAGGAGGCCTAGGAAGCTTCTAGAAGTGGAGGACAAGAGGAAGAACCCTGGTGCTTGACGCGAAGTAACCCAAGGTATATCTCCAGAGTCCAGGGTGGTTTGATCACTCTGGGCCGTGGTGGGACTCCTGGCGCTATGCTGGTGTGAGTGTGGCAAGGGCCAGAAGAGACATGCTTGTGGAGGACATGGTCACTGTGAACCCCTGGCTGCCATCCCCACTCCCTCCAGGGCTGCCTGCCTATCTGCTCACCCGTACCTATTGCAGGATGGTTTATGTGTGAACCCACACTATAATTTCGGGGTAGGAATGACAGTTGCTCAAAGCTGGCACACTATAATCCGTGAGATGGAACTGACAGCAGAGGTTGGGCAGGTGCTGACTAGAAGGCGCAGGAGCCTGGTCCCAGGGGGGTTATGGGGTGACGCTTTTACATTAGAGAGCGTCTGCGTCAGTCCAGCGGGTTGGCACCCTTCCTAGAACTGCTCTGGGCCGGTTGTGTTTGTGGGGCCAAACCAGCCACAAAAGCAGTGTCACAGAGGCTGGGGAGCCTAGCTATGAAGATGGTGAGAAAGCACAGACCCTGAGCTGAGACCTTGGAGGAGTGCGGCTGGTGGTCAGGGCTACACTGTGGCCGCTTTGCCCAGGGTGCAGCTCCACAGCGAGGGCTCGGGAAAACCCATGGCTTAGGCAGAAGCTCAACGGCTTCAAAAACAAAGGAGCCCAAGCAGCTGCTTCTGCTCTGAACCTTGTTTTCAAGAGAACTGTTGACCATACGGGAGGCTTCTAGAGTCGAATAGAAGCACTCCTGACTCCCTAGGGAGCAGAAGTGCTCTGTGACAGGTCAGGGTTCAAGAGGTGTCTCTGGTTCTTGGTTTGAAAGGCTGAACTGCTTTCTAACATTTAGAAGTCAGGAGATGCCTCTTTGCCAGGTCGGCTCCCCTAGCCCAAGTCCATTCCCACGGGGCAGCGATTCTCTGAAGCTGGCCACACCAGTGCCCTCAAGCTTGCTGCAAGGCCCCACCACTCCCCCTGGCCTCCGCAGTCCAGCTTGCTCCCTATCTCTGCATCGCCCCTCAGAGCTGTGGAGTTTGCTCCTGTCGAGGTTTTAGTAGCTGCGCAGCCTGTTATGGACCCACGTCAAGGTTCTGCCTTTGCTGAACAGCTGCCCTGGTGGTTTCCGGGTCACAGGGCTCCCCAGATCCACAGCAGATGCTTTTGTTTGTCTGTTTCAAACTCGGTGACTGATGTGGTGACAGCCACTCCTGGGTCTGAATCCCAGAGAAACACAGACCTCTGCTGCAGGTGGGAATGATGAGCAGATTCGTTTTATTTAATGTTTGATGGATTTATAGCTTTTCTTTCCCTTCCCTTCACAGAGACAAATTAAATGCCTTACGGAGACAAAAGGAAAAATTGGAAGAGAAAATCATGGATCAGTACAAGTTCTATGATCCCACCCCAAAGAAGTGAGTTGCTCTAAGATTTAATGACCTAAAGATGACCTTCACAGCTGGCTTTTTTAAGGCGAGGCAGCGGGCCCCACCTTACCACCTTGCTGGCCCCCTGTGCTCTCCAGCTTGTCCTGTTTGGTGGCAAATGTTAGCCGACCTGGATGAGACAGACTTAATTTAACCAGGAACTCTTTTAAGAGGCAGAATCTGTGGTCTTGGAGCCACTGAAGCCAGGTGGCAGGATGGCCTTGTCAGGTTTTTGTGTTAGGATTTAACGGGATGTGGACAGTCACGTTCCCGTGTGGGAAGCATCAGGTGGAACACCAGCTCCAAAGGTGATCATGGTAGTGTTCGTGAATGTCGCCGTCCTTTTTTTTTTTAATGTGCTAGGGGCTAAACACCAGGACCTCACAAAAGTTAGGCAAGTGCTTTACCAGCGAGCCACACCCCGGCTCAGTGCCACCATCCTAAATCCTGAGTAAATGACCAGACTTCACAGGCTGAAGATAAAAATTCCATGCAATTTAGGGAACCCTGGGTTATGGGAGTGTTGTTTGTACCTTTTAAAAATCTCCCTCCAACTAGGAAGAACCACTGGATTGGAGCCAGAGCCTTAGTGAAGTTCATCAAACCAAAGAAAGAGGGTTCCAGAGAACGAGTAAAATCAACTGCAGACAGTCCTTCCTGGCAGCCTGAGTCCACAGAGCTGGCCTCACCATCAGCCACTCAGCCTCTCAGGTCACAGCCGGAGAACCCCAGCAGTGCCCCTCTGAGCTCAAACTGTGCTGAAGAGCGTGATGCTCACAACGGGCCTGTGGGGAAAGGTAGGAGCGGCCACCTGGCTGTGGTTGGGCTCAGGAAGGGGGTGTGCATGTGTCAGTGTGGGACTGTGAGGGGTGTGTGTTCCTTCCACTGAACCAGGTAGACAGTAGCAATCTGTGTCCCTGTTAGCGTAGTGTCCCGTAGAACCCCTTTGCTACCTTAGAACAAGCAGTGTCCATTGCATAGATTGATAGGTATCTGAATAGCCAGAGTTCCTATTTTACAGGTCCCAAAGAGACAAGCACAGTAGCATATGTGTGTTGGGTGTCCCTGGGATGTGTCAAAGGTTTGCACTAAGCGGTTTTCTGTAGGGAGATCCCAGGTGCATTTAACACATCCTTCATGTATCCAAGCGCTTCAGGAAGTCCTGGGTGGTTCCCATCTTTTAGCCTTTGAAGGGCAGGTTAGGGTTTCTTCTCCAGCCATGGGACACAGTATCTATCTTCCTACAGGATGGTTATTTGGAGTGTGCCAGGGGTTCCAACGTAAGAGCAGGATTTCTAGTTCTGCGTCCTGTATTTTATTAGTGCTCAGAGGCGAGGTCGTCTAACCACTACTTTATGCACAAGAGGAAAATGACTGGCAATCCGTAGTGTGGTGCTTGGCCACTGAGGAGTGTTATTACACTCTGGTGTAGTAAAAGAGCTCTTCCAAAAGACAGGTGGGCTTTTATGGACACACATAAAATATAAATACAAGCAAGAGAAATTGCTTATTGCAGTGACAGTGCTCTCACAGTTAAACTGCCTGGCCTGCGGTGACTCTTGTAAGACATTGTTGAAACTGTGCCCTGATTTCAGACCTGCTAAGGTATGAAAAGCCTGTGCCTTAGACTCTAGCAAACACAGGTTTCCTTCAACACTGAAAATTTCAAATTTACTTCTTTTTTTTTGGTATTGGGGATCGAACTCGGGTCCTTGCGCTTGCAAAGCAGGTGGGGGAACCACTGAGCTAAATCCCCAGCTCTTCGCATTTACTTCTAAATGCCAGGCCTGTGTCCTGAGTGATTTAAATCTTTACAGAAGACACCAGGACTTCTGGAGATCATGTCAGGGAACCTGGTACTCTTGGGCTGATGATCGAGCCCGGAGGACCGGTGACAAGTACCGGTTGACTGGTGCACAAGCCTTTCATGGGTGAGATTCTCAAGTACTTGTGTGTCACTGTCAAGAGCAAAAAAGAAATGTGCACAGGCACACACATGGTTTGGGGATGGGGCTCACATGTCTGTTACGGACAGGGAGGAGAGTGGGCGAACAGCTCCTCTTCGAGTAAAAGATACCTAGGAGGCCTGTTGCTTCACACTGTCATGCTAGCTGTTGGTTGAGTTTTGATATTTATCATCTCAATTTGTATCATTTCGTACATTGAATTAACTATAATCAGTCTAGTTGAGTGAGAAAATTTTCAGACCAAAAAATGCTTGCATGGTCCAAACAGTTGAACCGATCCATGAACGAGCAAGTCAGTTGTATTTTCTGGGAGCAGCTGCATGGCTTGAGCCTGTCTCAGGGCTCAGCTCCCTTTTAATTACTTTGTGTGCTGTGTCTGTCCCATTTAATCTTCACTGCCCTCTGAGGTAGGCATCAGTGTCCCCCGATACACACACTTTTGTGTGAGTGTGTGTGGTACTGGAGGAGTTGAACCCAGGGCCTTCAGACTGAGCTACATCCCCCGCCCTTTTTTAATTTTTTTAAAATTTTAGGCGAGATCTCACTAAGTCCTGAATTGCCTAGGCTGGGCTTGAACTTGTATGATCTTCCACCTCAGCCTCGAGAGCTGAGATTTACAAGCTCACCACCAGGCCCTGCTGCTATCCATGTTTAAAGCCAAGAAAGTAAGGCTCAAGCAAGTTAAACACTTGGTGCTGAAGTAAGAGGGATCTGAACACAGGTCAGCCCCAGCCAGCACATGAGCTTGTGCTGCCTTCAGGTCAAGATTCTTTGATCCCCAAAGATGCTAAACAAATATGCCTCAGGTCTCCTGCTTAGAGCCCCTCCCTGAGCTGGACAGCAGGGTCACCAGCAGGCTTTTGTGGCATAAATTGTCCCTTATTCTGTGCTGTGGGCCATGGCCACCAGGTGGTGCTGTGGAGAAAGAAATAGCATCAAATTTGAAACCCCAAACTCTTAGGGTGGTAGGGCACACCAGTGATCCCAGCTACTCAAGTGCCTGAAGCAAGACAAAATTCACTGCCACCCTGAACACTTTAGCAAGACTCTCTCAAAAGTTAAAAAAAATAAAAAAGCTTGCCCCTTGGTTTCATTTTCCCAGTACCAACACAGAAAAGAAAAAATCAGGTTAGTGAATGCTGAAACAAGACATGCTCATGAAGTTAGAACAGTTGTCTGCTTTGCCAAGATTGTACATTTAAGGCCGGGGATGTAGCTCAGTGGTGCTGTACCTGCCTTGCAAGCGCAAGGTCCTGAGTTCGACCCCTGGTGTGTGTGGGGGGGGTTATATATTTAAAGGGCTAGGAGTGGAGGAGAACTAAAAGGAAATAGTGGCTTTTCTTGGCATTAAGGAGTTACGGGTATGAGAAAGGCGTTTGATTGTATCTAGATGCTTCCTGGCAAAAGAAGTGATTTGGGATGCAGAAGTGCTTAGTGGGTGGACCAGGCCGTGACAGCAGGCTAAGAGCACGCCATGAAGGGCTTCCAGGGGTTTGAAGGAGACCCGGAGCAGTCGGAGCTGAGTTGTCTGAGACCCTGTCACTTAACACGGATGAGTGAGAGAAGCTGGGTCCTACCTCAGCGAGCGTTCTTATTTAATAGCTTACCCCGCTGAGATTGAAGTCATCTGAACCGTTGGCTCCTTGGGTGGTGTGTAATTCTCCTCATGTGCTGAGTGAGTAACTGGGTGGCATTAGGTGCCACTAACTTAACTAAATTAAGTCAGAACATCAGTGACTCCCTGATCCCCTATTCAGCTGAGACATTGGACCTGTCTATCCTGGGTTCGGATGAACTACTGATTACCTTAGTGCATTTTGCTACTTTAGAGCCACTTGTGATTATTGTTAATTTCGTTGTTTTTCCTTCCTTTTCTGGGTTATCCGGGTGATAACAATTTAGCTGCTCAGCACAAAAAGAGTCCCTTTTTGAGAAGCAAAAGCAAAGACAAAGACAAGGCTCCAACGGCCCACCCGACTCTGTCTAAACGCCTGCGGTTCTGGTCTTCCTCCGACATCCCGTCCTCTCCTAACGAGCCTGTCTCTTTCTCAGACATTGGAGATTTCTAATCCCTTCCTTTACCATGTGTCTGCACCACCATGTGTCCTCCTCCATTTCTGAAATTCAGAGTCAGTACCTAAAGGCCGCATGGCCTACAGTGGACCCCCTGCTCCTGACCCAGTTCCAAATTAGCCAGCGTGGATTCTGAGTTCCAAGTAGAAGATGAGTTGTCACACTCCCTGGATGTTTCTTCAGCACAGCACAGTTTTAGGGGACCCTCGGGACATAACAGCACGTGCCCTTGGGCCAGGATGTCCACGCTCAGTAAGTCACGTGACTGTGTGTCCCCGCCTCTGCAGGCTTATGTCACGCCCATGTGTCAAGCAGAAGTGGTCAGTGTCGCTGTGCTTCCTCCAGCAAGTAGCCTGCATCGAGTAAGGTTTTACAGACTTTAAGCAGCTACAGTTAAAATTGCTGCCCTTTTGTCCCCCATCTTTGTCAGAACACTGAGTCACTGGCATTGCTAGTGAGGCCCTTGTTAGAGGTGTTCAGTGTTTGGAAGGATCTATTGCTCTAAGCATACGAACAATTGGATTGATTTTTGCCCAGCCAGAGTCACGCCCAGAGTGAAGTTTTATGGCTGTGCTGTGCTCCTCCGACATCTTGGATGCCAAGATTAAAACAGCAGTGGACAGAAAGAACATCAGCACACAGTTCACACCCAGAGCCAAGGAGCATGCTGGACAGGGCCCACCACCCACTGCAGTCCTCCTGTCTGTCTCCAGCCACTCTGGTCCCACCCTGGTTCAGCCCTGTCCTTAGGCCACCTGCGTGGCTACTTACATGTTTCCCCTGAAGTTTCCAGTTCAGTTTATCTGAAAAAGACAGATTATTGTTGGTACTTTGCTGTAAAAGGAAAACAAGTGTCACTATAAAAGCAAGTAACCACACAAATAAACCCATAACTCTGAAAGTGTTACAGTTGGCTAATGTCCTGCTGGCTCCATCTCATGACCCTTGCTTTGGGAGCACTGGGCTGCCTGGGGCCTGGTCCCTAGAGCCCTGTCCTCCTCGCATGCTGTCAGAATCGCGCTGTCTGCTTGCCTGCCGCTCACACTGCCTGTTGCCCATTGCCCATTTCCACATCGCCCACGGATCCTCATTTCCACCTCACCCCTGGCATGGCCTGTCCCACTTCATTCCACCAGACTTGAATCTTGCTTCTCATCAAGGTTATCTTTCAAAATCCAAATTTTCCAGCTGGGTGTGCTGGCACATGCCTGCACTCGGGAGGCTGAGGCAGGAGGATTATTGTGAGTTTAAGGCTAGCCTGATCTACAAAGTGAGACCCTGCCTCAAAAAACCAAACAAAACAAATCCAAATTTGCCCTTGATTTCAGATCACAGTATCTGGGCACAGTGGGCCCAGACTCTGAGATGCTGGGAGGGCAGGCAGATGGTCCAGTCTGTGGAGGAGGGGAAATCTCCCTGATACTCATGGCCCTTGGACACAAGTAGTGGGATGGAGTACAAAATGCTTTGTCACCTGTTAGGAAGCCCAGCACATTCTTGTCTTGTATTTGAATTGCCCACCCTCTCTTCCACTTACTTTTCTTTAATATTTTTTGTGTAATTTTATTTAATTTTCACAAGAGTATGTATTCTTGGTAGAAAAATTAACACTGCCCAAAAGCCTAGGATACGAGGTAAACATGTCACCTTGTGGTCCATCTTAACCATGAAGAGATGGAGGCTTCCCTTTTTAGATTAAAATTTAGGGCTGGGGATTTAGCTCAGTGGCACCTCACCTGCCTCACAAGCACAAGGTCCTGAGTTCAATCTCTGGTACCAAAAAAAAGAAATAGTAAGGTGAAAACAGTTGTGAGGTTGGCAGTAGACCTTGCTCCGAAAGCTTTCCTTTAGCACGTGGGGCTCAGGTCTGGTGTGGACCTAAGTGGAGCCATCCAGACCCTTGGCAGGGAGGCAGGGACAAAAGTGGGGCCTGGTAGAGGACTTGTGCCCTGCATCCCCGTGCTGTACTCATGCCTGCATTGGATTTATCCTCCTGAGTTCTCCGTTTCCTCCCGGCCTTCCAGGCCTGGCTGTCTGACCCAGCCTGGAGCCGTAGTGGCCTTGTGAGTTAGAACCTGTACATTGGGGTAGAAGGGGCAGTGCCCAGCTTCTGTGGTCCATGTGCCTGCTACGTCTGCTTCGGGCCTCAGTGTGCTTGCCCAGTCTGGGTGCGGCTTGTGCAGCCTCACTTCTCAGTGTCCTCTTCTGCCCCAGGCCCTGGGGATCTAAAACCAAAGCGAGGGTCCCCACACAGAGGCAGCCTGGACCGCACAGATGCCTCCACGGACCCAGCCATGAAGTCCTGGCCCTCAGAGCTGGGCTCCCGGACATGCTCGGCCTCGGTGATCACAGCAGCAGCCCCCTCCAGTTCCACCCCCATCCCCCGGCACCCGGGTCGCCCCAAAGGTGAGTGTGGGTCCTTCCAGAAGGATAATTTGAGCCCCGATCCTTCCTAAAAACCCCAGCTCAGAGCCAAAAGGGTGCCGCAGGGGATGAGCAGAGGGGTCTTGCTGAGACAACCCTGGGTGTCCCAGATGTGGGTTCAAATCTCAGTTATGCTTTCAGCCAGGAACTTTGGACAAGTTAACCTCCAGGAGGCCCAAGAGTCATGGTGAAAGGTCAGATACCCTCGACCCCCTCCAGCATATGGCTGTTTGTGGCACCATGTGGCACCAGCAGAGATGAAGTGGGGCCAGGCCCCAGGGTTTAGGCTAAAACCAGATACTGCCCTTGTTCCCTCACACTGGGAATCTAGAGGCGCTTTCTCCAGAGGGTATCAGGCTTGGATGTCCATTGACACAGCCGAGGCCCATGGTCCCACATTGAGAATGTGATCAAGGAAGGATTTACAGGGTTACTGGCTCCCAGGATGTCAGGCTGTGTGTGTTCACATCTTCAGTCACAAGAGTAAAACACTCTGAGTAATTTCATTAGCTGGAGAGATTCCCAGTGGAGTGGCTCAGTCAGCATTTGCCAAGTCAGGCCTGTGCAACTCCCATGAGAGAGCAAAACCAAAGCCAAAGGTACCTGGAATAAGCTGTAATGTCAGGAAACATGGAGATGAAACTTGAAAATGCCTAACACCAGTAGAGTCAGAGATAAGAGAAGCTGCTGTACCCATGATACAGGAACAGGAGGCTAGAAAAAGGAGCAGTATGGGAGGGTGCATCAGCACATTAAAAATGTGAATAGGGAAAGGTAATGCTTAACACAGGAAAAGACACTGTAACTTGAGAGACGAGAGAAACCGCCAGTGGAGTTGAAGGTGACTGCTCTGCCTCTGGGTGTTGGACATCTAGGTTATTTTTCCTGGTGAGGGCACCCACTCAGCTCTGGGAGCCTTGGAAATGCACAGTGTTGGTCCATTGGGCAAAACAAAATGACACAGACAAGGACCTTCACCCCAGATGTTCATTGTTAGAGTGGGGACCCTCTTATCCGTGTCCGGTGATGAGCGAGTTCCTGGGCCTGTGTCTGGTTAGAGCGCTGGGTGCAGGGCCGTCCTGAGAGTTGGCGTCTCCCCTCAGGGTTGTCACCTCCTCATACCCGGTCTCTAGGCTAGAGCTCACCTTCATCTTCAGGTCCCTGTCATCGCATAGGACAAATAGGTAGGAGTCAGTGTGGATGTTTCTCCTCTTCCAAGCTAGGAAATAAGGGGAAGGATTGGACAGGCAAGTGCTCACAGTACTGCCACACTCCCTTCCATCTACCTGAGAGCAGGACGCTGCCACCATTCAGGGACTGTCCAAGGAACACCGCTGGCTGTCCAGCCCAGGCAGGGACGCCCATGAGTAGTACCTGTTTCAGAACTGACTCATCTGCTGTATTCCCATCGCAGGCTACAGTTCAGACGACAACCTCTGTGAGGCATCCCTGGAGCTCGAGGGCGCCCCCAACAGGCAGCACGGTGAGTGGCCATGGGGGTGTCCCTTTGGCTTGGGCCCCATGGCAGGTCTTTGTCCATGGCACTTTTCCCAGGATCTCCCAGGCTTCCCTTCTCTGCCCTGTCCAGAGGCCTGAGCACTAACTCCTGCTTGCACCTCTCCAGTGCTGGGAAGCTCACTACCTTCCTAGCACCCCAGTTTGGGAAGCTGTGCCACCCCTGCTCTAAAGTGCCCCTCATACAGGAAGCATCAATTTCAGGAAGGCCTGTTATTGTCGACCCCTGGGCTTTACCTGTTCATGGTAGCTCTGGGTTGTAGTAAGTCTTAGAAAATGTTAGAAGAGGATATTGTAAAGTTCTGCAGAAAAGGAAACAGTAAATGACCTCAGGCTCCTCAAAAATTACAGGTTGCTTTGGGTTAGACTCTCCCTCCTCCTCCTCCTCCTCTTCCTTCCCACCCCCTCCTTCCTCCTCTATTTCTTCTCTATGCACTTCCCTCTCCTCCTCTTCCCTTTTCCTTCTTTATGCTAAGGATTGAACCCTGTTCCTCACACATGCTTGGCAAGCACTCTACTGAGCTATGCTCCAGTCCTCAATTTTTGAAAAGCAACCCTAGAAGGCTCAGAAAATCCTTTGAAAAAATTTTTTTTACACTGAATTCAGTGTACGTCAGAGTTGCTGGCAGTAAGCGTGGGAGCTAGCGTGATCTCCTACCCTGTCTGCTGTGTCAGAAGTGTGAAGATGTTGACATTCATGCACCCAAGCTAAACATTTACGATTTCTTTGAGTAAACACAGGCTCTGCAGTGAGACCATTGCCCTGGGGATCTCTTCTGTCCTTACCCCAAGTGGAGACCACACAACTGGAGGAAGCCCCTGTGTACACTCGTTACGTCTCACCTCGAGGCCAAGAGTTTTTTCTGCAGTGTTTTGCCTCCACAGCTTCTCTTATCATGAGAGGGAAGGGAAGAGAAGGCATCTGCAGTGCCTTTTCCTTGTCGTGACACACTGCCTTTTTCCAGAACGATGTGCATTTATTTGTTTCAGATTTTCCCTTCTCAGAAAGGGAACTCACTCTGCTGTTTTGCTGTTCCTGATCAGCACGTCTTTTTTGGCTCATCCCCGAACACTGTTTGTTCAATCTTTCCCAGATGCCTACTGTTTGCAGAACTCATCAGCATTTGGGAACTGAGCACCCTATAGACTTGGGAAACCTTGGGAGCAGCTTCTCCCTGGGAACCCCAAACAGGCTGTCTAGAGTTTCTGCCAGCTCCCTGGAAGGTCCGCCTGGCATCTGCTTGGGGTGCGGCTGTCAGGATGACTGAGACACTGTCCCTGGCCTGCAGGGACTTGAGCCCAGCGGGATAGCTGTTTTCTCATGAGACACTGTGATGCGGCAGGCTGCTGGAGGAGGACCACGAGAGGTCTGTGGGCCCTGGCAGGATGACCCACCTTCCCAAGGTCTATAGCATGGCACTGCCGAGCAGACCCACTCAGGTGGCACCCACGGCAACCAGGAATATGCGTGCCCTCCATACTTGTCATGTAAGCCTTGACTTTTCCCTTTGGAACAGATCTAAATTTGAAGCAAATGATGCAAAGGAGCTGATGAAAGGCAAATAACCGGGGGGGGCAATTTTGCTCCTTCTTGTCGCTCCTCGTCCTGAGGTCTGAGCACCCCTCTATCTGGCCGCCTGCAGGGACGCTACCCCATGCACAGGCACCCGTTTGCATACTTATATGTGTGAATGCACACTGCCCTGGACAGCGCCTTATCCCTGCCTTGGAAGGGGCTGGTCATGTGTGTTCCGGAAAGCTCTCTGCAGTGATTTGGCTGCCCCCGACTTTGAGCCTTGGTCTCTCCAGAGCAGTCCTTTGTCTGCATCCTACATCAGGCTCAGGGATATTTCCTTTGTTGCTGAAGTTGTTTTAAAATGCAGCTCTACCTAGTAAAAACTGATAGCCAATGTTGCTGGTCATCCATAGCCTGCCATGTGCTGTTCCTGGCATTCTGCTGGTGCCGCTAAGTTGGTCTAGGAGCATTCAGAGAATGCACAGTTCTTCCTTCCTGAGGATGCTGACCCTCACTTTGGCATCAAGTATCTTTGGTCACATGCTTTACTCAGATGAGAAGGTTTTTCCAGCGACATGCATGGTCCCTGGCCTCTTACATTAAGCATCACCATTTCCTTGCAGTGTCTCGGCCAAGCAGCTTGGAGAGCAGCAGAAACACATCTAGCAACAGCTCACATCTGAGCCTCAAGGGTAAGGCTGCCTCTGCCGAGTCTTTTAAACAGTTATTCAGATGTTTGGCTTTGGGCTTATGTTATGTGTAAGAGATTAAAAACTCTGGTTAACAAGACTTGCATATGCATTATGATACATTTGTAGGCCACTCAGTGAGATTTCAAGCTCAGGTTAGGGAGTTTGAATGGATTTGGTTTCAGATCATTTCTGCCCCTTGTTCTGAGGACATGAGCAGGTCACAGACATAAGTGAGCTACAGCATCCTAGAGTGGAATAGGGTCAGTTGTCTCTCTCCAGCATGGCCAGAGAACATAGTAATTGGAAGAACCTGCGTGCTGTTATGTGCCCTCTTTCCCTGGGATCATAAATTTTTTAAAAAAGATTTGTTTCGTAGCTTCCACTTGGCCCCCAGTACAGTGGTGGCAAGCCTAGGACACCCATGTCACAGTGGGCTGTTGGTATCACTGAAACCTCTAAAAGTTTTGGTGTCACTGACGTAGCATGTAGTAGGTGTTAATCAAACTTACAATAAATGGATGAGGGCTAGTGAGTATAACAGCTGCTGATAGTGTGAACTTTAGTGCTGACTCCAGCCCAGGTACTAAAATTGGAACAATAAAGGAGATTTGTGTGGCTTCAGTGTGAGGAAGACACACAGATTAATGAATCCATCTATATTTTTACTCACGGTGAACTCCAGGGTACAGTTTATACTTCATTACAAACACTTTCCACTTATAGCTTCTATATTTTTTGACCCAGGGGAAACTGTTAGTAGTCCCGGGAGATAAGACATTTTTACATTTAAATTTCATCTCATGTTAATTTTCTTTTAAAAGTCAAAGTGAAGCACCGAAGGAGTCCCAAAAAGTTCTTGAGCATCCAGAATCATAGCCAGGGGGTGTCAGCCCTGGGTTTGGGGCAGGATATTCTGGGGCCCAAGTTTTGAGTAAGCCAGAGGCAGCACAGCACCCACCAGTGGCAGAACAGGGAGCTGACACTTGCCCATCTCTGCCCAGGTTCCTCTGACCAGCTCCATGGACACTCCGAGAGCTTCAGCAGTGAAGACCTGATCCCTAGTAGGGACCCCAGCACCCTGGGACGTGGTGCCCTTAGCCGCCATGAGTATCCCCTACCCCGGAATGGGCCTCTCTCCCAGGAGGCTCCCCAGAAGAGGGGTGCAGCCACAGCCCACCCTGGAGTGCGGCCCTGCTCAGCCTCCCCCAGCAATGAGATGGTCACCTTGGAGGAGTTCCTGGAGGAGAGTAACCGCAGCTCCCCAACCCATGTGAGTGGCTGGCCTTGGAAGGGCGCCTCAGGCCTCCTGTCTCCTGGCTGAGGACTGGGCTCAGGAAGGGGTACAGTGGGGCTGGTATGGCTTTGGTGCGGGCTCGCTCTGCTGTGGCAAGATGTCAAGATCCGCTGGCCAACAAATCACCCCCGGCCCTTAAATCACAGGGTCTGCGTTCTCCTAGGTTTGAGGTGAGTCTGTGTCTACACCAAGGGTAGGGTGTGACTGGAAGTCCACTTGCAGGTCAGGATCTCACACCAGGTTTTATGATAGAGCCCTGACTGCTTCTCACCCTGCATCTTCTCGAGCAGCAGTTGACAGCATTGGAGGGCTTGGCGGGCCTTCAGAAGGCTAGAGAGCAAATGTTTTAGACTTTCTGTAGTTCTGTTGCAGCTTTTCAGCCTCACCACTAGAGAAAGCAGATATTGTCCACATGTAAGTGAATGGGATCAGCTCCTGTGCAGTAAACTTTGTGTTGAAGACACCGAGATTTGAATTTCATGTTATGAAATAACCATTCATTCATTCATTCATTCATTTTTTTTTCTAAAGTGTTACTGGGAACCCACCCTAGGGTCCTGTGCATGCTGGGCAAGGGCTCCACCACTGAGCTACACTACTTTTATTTTATTTTCTGGTCTCACTAAGTATTTTAGGCTGGTCCTGATGTCACCACTTAGCCCAAGATGGCCTCGAACTCACAGCAGTCCTCTGCCTCGATCTTATGAGTGCCAGGATTACAGGCGTGCACCACCACACCCAGTTTAACACTACTTTTGGTTGAGTGATTTGGGAATAAAAAACCCTTAGTTCACAGGTTGTAGGAGAACAGGTGGCAAGGAAGGCCCAGCCTCCAGGTTGCTGACCTCTGCCCTGCACTCCCAAGGCCACCCACCGACAGACCCTCCTGCCACCTTTGTGCTGCTCAGTGTCACCTGTGTGTGCTGCCTCTGCAACTGGGCGTGCTCTGTCTGAATTCAGTAACACGAGCTTTTGGGTTATTGAGTGTGTGGAGTACATGGCTTTCGCGTTGTTTGAATGACAGTGACACGTTTTGATACTTCCATCTTTCTCATTCCCCTTAAATAAACACACCTGGACTTTATCTGGCCATGTAGGAAACTACATCCTGTGCAAACGGGCTGGTGACACAGAGACTATAAGATAGTTGTTCAGTGGATATTTATTGAGCACCTGCTGTGTATGGGCAGTGTGCATGGTGCCTGTTATTGAAAAGCAGCAGGCCAGTTTATCAGCAGGTTGGCATTGCCTGTAAAACTCATAGTTGACACAGAAAGGAAACATACACATGGTCCTTGTGTCCCCTCTTCAATCTTTAGGACATTGGTCTTCACTAGCCTCATGCTCCTGACACACCCTCTGCCCTCCCCAAGCAGGCTCCTAAGGCAGACAGCACCTCTCAACCTAGAGAAGTGCCAGCAGGGCCCCCCGAATGTCCCACTCCCTGAATGTTAGTGGTGCTGGGGCTCCCTTGGTGGACAGGGTGCGCCCTGCCAGGTGGCTTTGAGATGGAAGTAAGTGGTTTGGCACATGCCCTTAGAGCTCCTAGCACAGCTCCCAGCTCTGTGGTGATTCACAGTGCCTGTGGGTACCAGGCTCCAGGTCTCACTGGACTCCTTCTGGGGTCTGTGCTAACGCAGCAGGGTGCAAGGCAATCAGGTCCTCTGTCAGTAGTGTTCGTGAGTGAGCTGTTGGCAGGTGACACCCAACGGGTCACAGAGGGCCAGGTCTGACTCCATCATTGGGCAGCCTCTGACCTCACATCCTGCCTCCATGATCTTCCCTCCCTCCTTCAGCCTCAGGAGGCTCCTCTGCTTGTCCTGTCCTCTGCCAGGCTGGGAGGGACTGAGCAGAGTCAGAGATCTTGGCTTCCAGGGCGGTGGTGAAAGATAACTGCTCACTAGGCAGGGGAGGCAGGGCCTGGGGCAGCAGCCTAATGGGACCAGTCTGTCACCTGGGCCATCCTGGGGCACTTGCCTTCCTGTGCTCCCTCACTGTCCCTGCTTCTGGGACCTCTGCCTCTCTGGCTGCCAGCCATACCCCTCCCCCTCTGCCTATCTCTTCCCTTTCTCAGACCATAAGAAAGATTGGGGCGGCAGTGAGGGTTCTGGCTTTCCAGGCGCAGGTCTTTCCTTGTCCTCACAATATTCTGAGCCTGCTGGAATCTCAGTCACACCAGTAGCTTTCTAGATGCTACTCTGTGTGGTGGAAAAAGGAGAAATAGATTGAAATAGTTGTGGTCAAGCTATCACAGCAGAACCACTGGCTTTGTGGGAAGTCATTTCCCTCTCTGGATCTGTTTCCGTATTTATAAAGTTAGCAGGATGCCTGGGTGGTACCTGGAGTTCTTTCTCAAAGATTCTGGGCCACCTGGCCCCCTTGCCACCTGACCCTTTCTGGGACCTCGCCCTGGAGAAGCTGGGCAGGGGCAGGAAACTTCAGTCCTGGCCATGGGTGCCCCGGTGCACCCTGGAGGAGGAGGCTCCCAGACCTGCAGGCCCTCACTTTCCGCTCTCCATTTTTCCTCTTCTCTACAGGACACTCCCAGCTGTCGGGATGACCTGCTAAGTGACTACTTCCGAAAGGCCAATGACTCCCCGGCCATCGGAGGCCCACCAGGACCTCCTGCCAGGAAAGAAGGAGCCAAGATGCCTACCAGTTTTGTGGCCCCCACCATCAAGATGGCCATTAGCACCTCTGAGGGGAGGCAACTGAAGCCTGGGCATTACGTGAAGCCGAACTTCAGACCAGCTGAAGCAGAGGTCCCAGCGGGTGCCCTCCCAAGACAGGCCCAGCCTCCCCAGAGCCTGTCTCTGGGCAGACCCCGGCAAGCCACAATGGCCCCTGCCAGCCGGAGTGCATCCCTGAGCCGTGCCTACAGCCTGGCCTCCGCCGACCTTCTCCGGGCCAGCGGGCCAGAAGCCTGCAGACAAGAGTCCCCTCAGAAACTGGGGGGTCCTGAGGCCTTGGGAGGCAGAGAGACAGGCAGCCACAGCCTGCAGAGCCCTGTACCTCCCAGCTCTCATAGCCTGGTACGGGAGCGGACCCCACTGGCGGGTAAGGCTGATGCCTCCTGCCAAGGCTCCGGCTCCGGCTCCGGCTCCCGAAACCGGCCGCCAGACACCAGGCGCTTCTCACTGGCTCCCCCGAAGGAGGAGAGGCTGGCACCCCTGCAGCAGTCCGCCACGGTCCCAGCTATTGCTACCACCACAAGCAGTGGTGGCAGCAGCTCCCAACTCCAACACTTCTCGCCTGCTGCAGCCCCTGCCACCAGGACCAAGCCCAAAATGCCCCCACACTCAGGGGAAGTAGCCACCATTGTCCCGGTCCGGGTGGGACTCAGCCTCTCAGAGGGAGACAAAATCCTGGGGCAGGGCCATGCTGAGGGGCTCCTGGCCAAGAGCCCTGGTAGGTCTCCTGACTCAGCTCCCCATGCCAGCAGGAGCCCTGAGGACTTCAGCCGTGGGGGCAGCTCAAAGAGCACCCCAGCATCCCCGGAGCCAGGTGGGGACCAGCAGACGGTGTGGTACGAGTACGGCTGCGTGTGACTGTCTCGTGGATCAGCAGCTCCCGAACCTTAAACTACTGATGCGCCTTCTGATCCCGTGGCCTTTCCTCCTATTTATCCATGGTGCCGGGAAAGGGTTTAAAATGGAGAAAGGGTTCCCACATAACTGTCCTGTTGGTCTTGTAGATGAAAACACTGTGCCAAGTCCTAAGAGGAACACTCTCCCCAGTGTGTGTGGCGTCTTCTGTGTCTACAGCGTCTCGTAGCTGGTGTCTTTCGAACAAATCCGCTTAGCATGGGGACCACTTAGAATGCAATGATAAAACCCACTGACCCCAAAGCAGACACTATTTGAGTGGACCCTGGTAGAACACTCATTTGCAACCTGTTGACCTCCTTTAAGATGTGCATGTGCACACGCACACACCAAGCTCACAAGGTGGGCTCAGCTGGTAGCTCTGGAAATCCCATTCCCTCCCAAAAGCCATTAGATCCTAGGGGAAACCCGGGCTTGCCAAACTACCAAGATCTGGAGGGCAGTGAGTGAGCAGAGCTCATCATGAGCTGACTTAAAAACCAGGAATGTTACATCCTGTCTGGGTCCAAACTCCCCTTCACCCCAGGCCAAGGTAGCCTTCAGGGCCGGTTATAGGTGGCTTTGGGCACTCACCTCCCTCCCCCAGCTGGCTCCTGGGCTCTGCTTGGTGACCTCCAGGGACTGGACTCCCTAGCTTTCTCTGGCTCACTTTTCTACAAACACTGGATCAGCTGGGGCACAGGGCAGAGGGAGGCCCCAAACCTGGCCCTACAAGTGTGCACATGGGAAGCCTGTCTACAAGCAAGGTGCACACTTGGTTTGTGATGTGGCTATAGTGCCCAGTTTCCCCCATCTCAGATGGGGTGTTATTTCTGAATAATGCAAGTAGAAACCAAATTTCTTTTTAATATATTAAGTATGTACACACTTGTAAAATATATATTCGTGGGGGGGTCTATTTATGCTCCATTTGGAGTTCTCAGGAATCTTACCTGCTGCTCTGTGTATTTGGTCAGATTCCTGACACATTTAGTTTCCTATCGTAAAGGTGCTTTTCCTGGGTCAGACTAAAACTATTGACTTTTTCTTTTTTGGGGGGTACTGGGGATTGAACTCGGGTCCTTGTGCTTACAAGGCAGGCCATGGAACTGCTGAGCTAAATCACTGGCCTGTTGACTTTTTCTTAAAGATTGTTTTTCCCTTTTGACTTAATGGGCTGAGGAAGAAATGAGACTTGAATGTTAACAAGATCCATTGTAGGGGTATTTTGGGTTGTGTGTTAAATAGCCATTCATTTTGGAACACAAGGGTGGGTAGTAATAAAACAGTGGAACAGAAGGAAGTTCTGGCTCTCCTCATTGCACATTATTGGCAGTGCCAAAGGGGGCTGCAGAGGCTCTGCTGAGGTGCCCAGGTCTCCTGGCCTTGAAATCCATGGTTTGCTTTGCCAGTAGGTACACGAAGCCACCGTGCAGTGGACCAGTAACCTATGTGGATAGCAAAGTTTCTTATACAGATCCCACTTCTGTGATTCCCATATTACATCTAAGTCAACATAAACCAAACCTTTCCCTCAGTCCCATACTGGGGATTGACCCCAGGGACTCGAATGCGAGGCAAGCCAGGCTAGGGCTGTGCCACTGAGCTACACTCCCAGCCCAACTGAATCTTTTTTTTTCCCCCTCTGGTACCTGGGATCTAACAGAACTTCACACTTGCCAGGCAGGCAAATCTCTTGAACATGTAGTTTACCTCCTGCTGGGGCAGGAGCTCAGCTTAATTTTCCAGAGGTTGCTCAGCTCCTAAAGTCCTGAATTAGGGTCTTGGAGCCCTCTGGGAGGAAAGCCTCCTGCTGAAGTCACCAGTGTCACAATCCAAGGTAAGGTAGTTCTTCTGGTCACTTGCCAGTGCATTCACCCTAAGTGACCTTCTTGGAACCACCCTTCCTGGCCTCCACAGTAGCCACACCCAGCCTCCACAGGGCTCACCTCGGGGCACACCCAGCCCTCATCACCTCTCCTCTCCTGGACAAGCTCATGCACATCACAACTCTAATTACCAACTCTTCCCAGAAAGCTCCAGGCCACCATCTTCAGCCCCAGCCTCTGGAACTACATGTGTGTGTGTATCCTGCTTGGATGTCCCAGTCACCTCCAACTCAAAATGGCCATCGCTTGGCTCATGTCCCCCAAAGCTGGACCTCTGTCTCTTACCTCCTCAACCCTGTCCTAATACTCAGTGGACACTGGACATCTCCCTCCGTGGAGTTCCCGTCCATGACTCCATCCGCTACTTTCAACTCAGACCGCTGCCAGCCTCAGGTGATGACAGCACCACGGGTCACTGTCCTGAGAGACCCTCCCATCACAGCCCCTCCTTAATCTCAGACCTCACCCTCTGCTTCGGGATGATGTCTGGGTGTTAATTCCCCAAGTGGTGCCTCTTCATGCCTACATCTTGGGTAAGGTCTGGCTGCTAAAAGAAAGATAAAATCATCTGTAGACGGGCTCCCTTGGTGAGGACATAAAATTGGGAGGAGCACAGCATACACCTTAGCATCCTGGCTCTTGGGGGTGTGTGTGTATGTGTATAAATTCTATTGATATAAAGAATGTGTGGCACAAGGTACAAATAATACATTTTATTGTAAAATCAACCAATTGATTCTCACAAAAAACCTGATTTGTGCTACCCCTTTCTCTCTGTAGCTAATTTATGAATGACAAATGACCACAGCTCCAATGTGATTGTTGCTTAATGTTTTCTGTGTTACCAAGAAAGATAAAAGGGGAACAAGTCAAAAACCTATGTCAGACTTCATTCATTGATGATATGCCTGACTTCGCTGAATCAAGTAGTTTCTGAATGCTGGACAGACATTCCCACAATTTTCTGTGCTAGTCACTCGATAATGCCCTCAGATATGGTGTGATTTATTTAAAATTGAGATATATTCTGTAATATTCACCCAACCCACTTTTAAATTTACAATATTAACATTTTCTCCATCGCTGTCTTAAGTCTAGAGATTTAAAAGCATAAATCAAGCCCTGACTATCCTTTTTCCCATTTCTGTGATGTAAATGCTGTGCGGGGCTGGTGACTGCACGCCGGGGATGGCAACAGAATAGAACGTCCGGCCTCCAAGCTCAGCAGCCCTTAGGGTCTGCTCCGGAAGCGTGGTTAGAGGGCCAGGCTTCTCTGCCACACCAGGCACACTGGCATTGCCACCTGGGCTGTCTGGAGGCTGGGAAACTGTCTCCACCTTCTCTCCCCCCCTTGTCCTCCGGGGAGCAGGGCAAAAGTCTGCAGTAGGGCCAGGGCTCTACCTGGGAGGGCAGCCTGAGCAGAGCCCAGGGGCGGGGTCCCCAGGCCGGTGGCCACGCCTCGGGAGGGAGGGGGTCACTGCAGGGCTCAGAAATGTCCTCCCCTTTCCAGGCTCGGCCTTTTGGCTCAGCGCAGAGATTAAGTACATCGGTCCTACCTCAGTCTGGTCTGGCGGAGGTAAAATCAGCCCCCTGCTCTCCACCTCCAGGCCCACAAAGAGACCGCAAAGGGACGGGAAGGGATTCCCAGCCCTGGGACCTTCTGGACCACGAGCTCCTGGCGTCCACCGGGCGAAGAGCCCAGGACAACCGCACCCTCCCGGGGCCATTGCGGGGCGGGAGTGGGGGTGGGGTGGCCTGCGCCGCCCGGATGACCGGCTCTCCCCTGTGTCCGCGCACCGGTGTGCGATCGCGCCTCCGCTTCCTGCAGCTCGGTAGGGCCGAAACGACAACAACGAGCCCAGCGGGGCGCCGGCCCTGGCACCACGCCCCTTCGGCCAAGGAGAGCGG